AGCGAACTGTGGCTTTCCGAAAACGACATTCTCCCATTTTGTTATGAACCGGGTGTAGGAAAAACGAAATTAATTACTTTTTCTTTTCAACTTTGTTAAACTATTAAAATGTGCGTCGATCGACCGCCCTCATTTCAGCAGACAGCCCCCTAATTTTCCGCCTTTTATTCGTATTTTCAGACAAAACAGCAAACCCCGTTAATCAAGAGCTCCATCTCGGGCTTTGGCCCGTTTCCAAACAGTTTTAAGTCCGATCTAGAGTTTTATGAGGTTTTTCGTCCCTTCTTTTCATTGGTTCCTAGAGGCGATCGATACGCTTTCTTTTTGTTCACATTTGGTTAAGGTTTTTATATTTGCCATTGATTTCATAATATTGATCATTTGCCCTCGAGAGCACTTGAAACATTATTTTCTTGAATTTAGAGAACTGCCGTTTTCACATTTAATTGAAGAGCGCTGAATGAGTAAACCAGTTTCCATTTTTGATTGTCTCAAAACCTTTTCAAAAAAGGTATTTATACAACTAATCACATAATTGACACCTTTTTGAAATGTAAAAGTTCGTTAAGTCTTAAAAAACCTTCTGTTCTTCCAAGTGTCTTTCTACTATTCCTTTACGATTTTTGTACCTCCATTCCTCCCTAACTTTTTCGGATTTACTTAAAAATCACACTCAAAAGCATCACTAAGTTTCCAACTAAACGTTTGTTACTTTATCTCCAATTTCTGAAAACTTTTTAGCTCAGTGCTAAATTTTTCCATCGTTCAGTTCCATTCCTGTTAACTTTATAAATGTTTATTTTTTCGGGCTGTAATGTATTTTTTCTGTAACAATTTCCTTGTATAACATAAATAAAAAGCTAACAGAAAGAGGCAAATGACATCAAAAGAAACACGATTAAAATCTCCAGATTAATCCTACTAATCAATCTTCCAGGATTTCGGTAGTTTTCCAATGCACTTTCCATAAACAAGCACAATAATATATAAAACGCCCATTTAATCGTCGTTGATAGTTTTCCTCCGGACGAAAATAAATAATTAAAGTCGATTTTATAGCAAATATTTCTGTCCAATTAAAATACATTAAATAAGATATTTATTTTCGAAACGCGCACATATAATAATCAAACCCCAGGTCCAGTGGCGAAACATCTAAATCACTGTTTTGTCTTTTTTTGTTTGGTTATTTTTATTGCCGCTCTTCACAATATATAAAATGCGCTATCGGGCTGGTTTCAATTTATTTGTAAACGAAATTAAATGGCCCCATTTGTTTGCAATTGGGGGCCATGGAAAATAAATCGATTGTATAGGGAATTGTACAGGACGTTGATGTGATTTTATATATTCACAATGATTCACTTCTACGCCGAAAACTCACCGATAAATTAGTAAAAATTTTAAAACAATCTTTGATACAGTGATAAAATAACTGATAAAATTAATATTTATGACAACGATTTTGTTCTAACTGCCTTTGTTTGAGGGCCAAACATAAGTTTCTTGAAAAAAACAGAAAATCTACAACAAAATATATTGAAAAACCTGTGAAAATTCCACTTTCATACCGATAAGTCAAAAATAAAAATTTCGGAAAGTATCACATAAGTGAGATCAAGTTGGAAATCTATCTGCAAAGAATTTATTGAAAAAACACAATTCAGCTACCTATCGCCTATGTGTGATGAACTCTGACTAAACAATCTAACATTTAAAAGCATAAACATAATACAATCTAAACAAAATCAAATATAAATTCAACTAAATACTATGATAATAATCAGCATAACTTTCTCCAATATATTCGTTCGAATAAAGCCGCAAAGCTATTGATGTTTATTAAAATAACATCATAGCTAATTATTAATATTTTCGCAAATAAAACTGTAAATAATCAGGACAATTTAAATATTTTTCTAACACATCGATAGCTATTCATGGTCGCGTACCGCTGCATTATAAATCGATATAAAAGCAAATAGAAAACGTTTATTATTTTAAACAAATACTATATTATTATTATTATTGTTATTGCAAGCTCGGATATAATGGAGCGAACTAAACAGGCTTTACCCCGTTCTGGCGAAATATTGAACGAATTTTACTTTGTTTTTGCATAAATTTCAAACCTTTATGGCTGTTTTGTTTTGAGTTTGTTTTATTACTTCATTTTCTTAGAGTATATATTGGCATTTTGCTTGAGGCTTTTTCCCATTTTTCGCAGGTAAACATTAAATATTAAAGCCAAAAGCAACATTTTCGGTCGATTGATTTTCCACCACATGTGAAGTATAAACAGAGCAAAGGCAAGCAACTTTAGCTTTAGCGAAAGCGGGAAGCGAAGCTGGGAATGTTTTTTAAGAACCATTACGATTCTGAGAAGACAAATTTCCGAAAAACGTTTTGCTTAATTATTAAACTGCTTTAGACAAATTGAAGGGAAAAACCAGAAATTTAACATTTCCAGCGAATAGACATCGAACAATAGCGAAAATCCATAGGCGTTTGGCACCGCTCTACAAAGCTGAAACACACTCTTTCATCCGAGCCCATTTAAAATTCAAATATTTCCATGTTCCATAAGGTTTCCCGGAAAATCCGAGCCCGATGTGCCGGAAAATAAGGCGGAGAAGATTGGAAATGGAAAGCGGGTATCTTAACTAAATACAACCGCCGTCTAAATGTAACGCCGAGATAATAAGCCATATTATACAAAGCACAATATTATCGTTTCTTAAAACCTTAAACTTCAATTCTGCGTATTTTCGTTTATTATGCGAATCGAAAGATAAATCCTTAATAGCAAAAGTCGAACGGATACTCGAATAAAAATGGGAGAAATTCTTAGAACAAAATAGACATTGGAAGCTAAAATTATTTTAGATAATCAATCAATCAATAGAAGATGGATAAAAGTCACAACTTTGAAAAACACTGTTTTGCTTATGCAATACAAGATGATCCAAAAACCCACTGAAACTGTTGCCGAAAAGTGTCTAAAGAGTACAGAAAAACTTTTGCATACACTTGCACTCAGACTAGAATTCAAATTAGACAACAATTTGTTATGACTAGAAAATGACTTTTATTTCATTTTCAGTGATATTCCTTAATGAAGGACGCCATTTGTTTGAAAATAAAATATAATAAGACGAAATTAAATACATTAGGAAACTCAAACTAAGTTAAATCGTAATTGTGTTGATTTTAGTGTTAACACAATTTACATAATTTGTTAAGAAAAGTAGAAAGCACATACGGAAAAATGTTCCGAGTTTCACGAACAGCAGATATCTGTGTTAATCAAGAAACACTTTGAAGAATTGAGGAGAAATTTGGTGAAAAACTGAACATTTGGCGTTTCTTTTCATCATGCTTTCACGGTTTGTTTCACTAAAGTCTGAAATACGCATAAATCATAACATTCACTATTATTAAAAATCAACTAAACGAAATACTCAATAGGAAAATTATGGCAAGTTGATTGATGCATTTTTAAGTTCAAAAACCGGAACTCCCATATATTTGTTTAAATGATACTGTATTTTTGCTAAACGTTTGCTCGTTTATTCTAACGAATATTTCGCTCTTTTGCCGTTAGCTGTTCAAAGTGCGGAACATTAAAGAAGAATCTGAGCAATTTGCGTGGAAATTCGTCGAAGAAACCGATCTGCAATAACGCTAATGAATACTCCAAACAACGAATTGAACTTTGTTTCTTAACATCATTTACTTTTCATCAACAAACGAAAATTTGGTGCTTAAAACCATGTATGTTTGACTTCTAATCCTTGGTGATGTTCTCACTTAATAAATTATTTAAGCAATTATAATTCTTCTTATTCTATTGCACAGTATTTGTTTGTTTGTTTGGAAAAAATATTTAATGCTTAACCAAACAAACCTGCATATTGTTCCAGTAGAAACCTAAATATGAATCTCATTTTGCGCAGCTTCAGTTACTGTGGCTATTACAAGAACATAAAAATTGCCAAAATAGTCCACGTGTGGAAAACTAAAAGAAGACAAGGAGACAAGACTTGAACGACCAAAACCAAATCATCAACACTAGAAAATGAAAGCCAAAATGTAACACTGTTTAACTTATCTTATTTTTGAAGAATTTAGTGAGCTTTTCACTATTTTATTATTCACTGCTAGTCTAAAGATTTAAAATAAAATCGTTCAAAACGCCTTAAAATATCCCCCAGAAAACATTACACACAAATTACCTTATGAAAGAAAAATAAGTTTGCTACTGACTAGGTCGAATTTAGTCGAAATCAACTTAATTGAATCACCACATTAAAATACTTTTTGGCATTTTTACAATTTCCAGTCCGCAATGTAACAAATTCAATGCTTTTAAAGACATTTGAATAATGGACTTTTAAGATGTTGAGGTGTCTGTTAATGAATCGTTGAATTGTTTCTCTGATTCTAACCATCACGCCCACCGGACTTATGCCCAGTTGATTTTATCAGCTGGTATCGATTAAATAGCTTCATTCATTAATCTGTTGCAGTAAAAAATTTCCCGTCATTTTGAGAAATTGCTACTGTTTTGCTTAAGACCTTAGAACAAGCACAACTAAAGGACGCAAACCTAAATAAAGGAAAATACAAACGTATATACACGAGATGAGTGGAAAAAATACAGCATAAAATTCACAATGTCGCATATATTTTTAAATATATGTTAATAAATAATATACATACGTGCTTTCAGACACATCTACTTAAGATCTAATATTTACAAAATATTTACACGTTCTGACATCTACCGCTTGTTCAGACCAGCATAAATGCAAATAAATATTCAATTTCGCTCTCTATTAAATGATAGGAATGACAAAATAAAGGTGCGATCACATTAGATTTACTATTTGTTATTAATTTCAGCCGGATTCGACAAAATCAGGTTGGTATCAATCGCAGAAATTGTGTGAACTGATGTGAACGCACCGACATTTTGATTAGGAACACGTTGCACATAATTCAATTTAAATATTTATTGAAAAACGGGCCTTAGAACTGACAAAACTGGCCCTCAAATGAAGACCAATCAGTTCTAGGGCACGTTTCTCTGCTACCTAACAACTTAACTTAAATAGGCAATTACTAATTATCACATTTCGAAAAAGAATATTAGCCGCCGTTCATTCGAACCAGTTCGGTGAAAGAACAGCAACAATCACAAACAAAATATACAGATTCGTACTATTTACAAGTTATGAAGGTTCGTTGCTAACTTACAACGCAAGTTTCACATCAATATGGCCTAGTTAGATAATCACATATTATTCAGAAAGAAGAAGAAAAACTCTAAGTACCAAAAGCGCATTGTTTGTCACTGTGTCCAGAAAATCATTTTAAAACTTTGGCAGTGTCATTGTAAACACCTACTAGCAGCATGTTCGTTCTGTGCACAGCGACAAATCCAGGAAAACCCTTTTTTGAATCTACTTATGTATGTACACATTATCTAAATGACCGCAATGTTTAAAGAGGCGCTTAAGTAGGCGCTATTGCAAGGTTCAAAACACCCTGTAGATAATAATTAGGTATACTATTTAGCTTTAGCTATCTATATATAATGGTCTCCACAGAACACGCCCTAGCTTTCTTGCAGATTAATCACTTGCCAATCCCTAACCTCAAAGCATCCAGATTGCTTCCAGCAAAAACCGCGCACTATTGAGTTGATGGTTGGTTACAAATGAAGTGAAGAAGTTTCAAAACGGATCAGTCTTAATATTGACATGATGGTCGAAAAAATTGGCGTACCCTCAGTATTTCTGCGCGACACAATCCGCAGGGTAGTACGGAGTGGATGTGGTGCTTCTGTAGTTGTGAGGAGGACTGGATGGAACTCCAGAGTGCCGGAAATTAGCTAATTGGCAGCTGGGGGCGCTGCTGCCGTCGAATATTATATCCCGATATCCTGTGGGAGTGGTAGCAGACTCTGGAGAGGTTTCTGGACTGTACCAGGGACTATAACGCGGAGTGGCCTCATCTCCGAGATTGTATTGATGCTGGGGATTCGAACTAGGGCAATAAGAGTACATACCGCCTGAGGAATGTAACCTGGTAGAATTGGTGGTGTAAGGCAGCGCTTGGTCTCTGGATGCGGTCATTAAGGAGTCCACAGTGAAAGCTGCTGCGGTATCCATGGCCTGAAGCGAGGCAGTAACATCACTAAGAACATGCTCTTGATGAACTATCACACTCTTCGGATCACCATATTTTGCACTCATGCACTGGCTGAGCTCAGTGTTGGGCTCGCGCTTCGGCTTGCAATCGCCCAGTTTGACCTTGGATTCCTCCAGAGGCTTGTTCTCCTCGCGTTTAGTCAAGGAGGTAGGAGAGTCGGGCTGCAGTTGCTGCCTTTTGATGGCTTCCTCCTTCTCCCTGAGAGCGTCCTTTTTCTTGAAGCGCCGCCGCCGGCGCAAGTACGATCCGTTATCAAACATGTTGTAAGAGTCCGGATCCAGCGTCCAATAACTGCCCTTTCCAGGCTTTTTATCGTCTCTGGGCACTTTGACGAAACACTCGTTCAAACTTAGATTGTGCCGGATGGAGTTCTGCCAGCCCTGCTTGTTCTCACGGTAATACGGAAACCGCTCCATAATAAACTGGTAGATGCCATTCAGGGTGATTTTCTTCTCTGGAGCATTCTGGATGGCCATCGCAATCAGCGCTATGTAGGAGTATGGAGGTTTGACCATATCCTTAGCCGTAGCCAGAGGGTGTTGCTGATGATGCCAAGCGGCAGCTGCATATCCATAGCGGTACTGGTCATAGTAGGGATTTGAGGTCACTGTAGATGAAGGATATCCAGTGTTGTAGCGATTGTACATGCTCTGATGTTCCGTCAGGAAGGTATGCATTTTTCGAAGGTAAGCGGGGGCCAAGAATTTGTTACGACTTCAGCCTCCCGCGGCAAATTGGATTCCGCAAAAGAACAACAAGCAATGTTATTCCAGACTGATGTTTTCGCTGGATTCAGTCTTGTAAAAACACCCGGTCGGCCCGATGACTATTATTAAACACAACACCGTAGTTTACACAGGGTATAAGTAAAAACACCGTATGTTGCTTCGCGAGTAGACACAATGTTACTAGTGAAAACATTCGGATGAGCAAGGGGGCCAGACGTGGATTCTGCGTGTTGGCTCAAGTCCGGCCCAACTTTGTATCTTGTGCCAATACGATGAACGGAAACGCCCAAATCGATACTGCGCTCATGGTAATGTGCTGTCCGTACACGCCCTAAACAGGCGATTTTTTTTCAAGCAAGTGAAAATTTAAGTGGAAATTTTGAACCCTTTAAAAATTGGCGGACGCGAATATGCCGGTATTTTACGTGCACGAAACTGTCACAAACACAGTATTCTTTGGCGAATTCTTGAAGGCACCTCGAGTGTTTTGTGCACGCTTTTCGAGCTGCGTGTGCCGATTTTAGTGTTTTCCAATTGTGGATTCGAGGGCGTGTTGATGTTCCGAATCTAATGAGGCGGTCGTTGAAAAGCTGTTAACTGGTGCCGGTGAAATGGATTTCCATGTGGCCGCTTCCAACGTGGAAACTTAACGGGTTTTAGAGGTAATTATAGCAAATTTTGCCTGCTGAGTAATTTGTTTTATGGACATAACTGTGAAATGCGCTTGATCACAAGCAAAGGACACATCGAAAAAATTTCAGAACATACAACCCAAAAGCTACTAGCGTTAAGAGAATTTTAATTAGTAAATAGTGCACAATGTCTACCGAATTTGTTCGTTCGTTCGTCTAATTTCTTTCTAATCTAGTCTAATTCTAATAACTCTACTCCAACTGTTCATTTAACTAGAACGCCATAAATAGAAAAAAATTCAGAACGTACCACCTCAAAGCAACCAGTGTAAACAGAATTTGCATTAATAAATAGTGCAGTTTGT